ATTTCTGATTTATAAAACGCCAGCCTTAATACTAAATATCTATATTTGATAAAAAAAATAAGTTCCTTAATTAAGGAAGTCAATAATATTTATCTGACAAATTGAAATCATTGCAAACATTTTCAGATATAAAATAAATATTTAAATAGAGTTACGGATGATTTCCCGATATTCAACGGAAATATCGAGTTTATTTTGTACTTAAACAACCCATTGTGTTATTACAGCTTCCACACTTGTTTCGGGATAATTCATGGCGTGATGTTTTCGGGCCGGCTGAAATTTTAAAGGGTATTGGGCTTTAGCTATAAGCCTTTATTTAAATTTAAATAAAGGGGGAAGCCAGCATCAGGTCGATTAAGTGCTGCTAAAAGCATAATTCATTTGACTCTTTTCGGATAAAAAGTTAACAGGATTCCAAAATTAAAATTTTTATAAAAGTATCTAATTGCAGAGAATTAACTAAATATTAGATTTAGACAATACATAAGAATTATTAGCTTATTTAACAAAATTAAGGATACATTGGATTCTGACTAAACAACCGAACTTTTCAATTTTTCGGTTTATAGTGGTGGAAATGTAATATAAAAGTAGTATTAATTGATTCCAAAATCTTATGATAATTATTATTAAAAAAATCTTAATGTAGACTTATTATACTCGTATTTTTTTGTCTTTATTAAATAATATCCCATCTTTCTCCCAAAGTTATCCTATGCAGTGCGAAAAAGGATTATAGTTTGCCAAAAATACTTGCATAAAGAATTTAAGAGACCAGAGACCTGCGTATTTCTCTTAAAAATATTGTGGAATTTGGATTAGCAAATCAGTAAAATCTCGTAATGAGTATAATTATATCCCAGATGCGATTTGTGGTCCAGAACGTCAATATTTGAAATTAAAGTATAAGTACAAAAGGAAGAATATGCAAAATTTAGTTGCTTAGATAATAACTACCTATTTCATAATCCAGTAGAGCGCGATATAAATCCGGAAAAGCATATCTACAAAACAAAATGCTGTATTTTTACAGTCGAATACTTCAATGCATATCAAGTAGGCGATACGATCCTGACGTAGGCGCAAGTGAGCCGTGTTTATATTAAATAATCGACCTTTACAGTTTTTACGAGCCTTCCCGATTTCCGAAATTAGGGATTATAAATTCGTATCGCATTTCCGTTCTGGCTTCGAATAGAGAATACATTGGAAATGGATTTTCCTTGAAAAGGAAATGAAATATGGTAATAATAATAAGGAAATCTTTATATTGTGTTTATTTACTGATTTTTGCCATAAATTATTTGGTTATATTTCAACTTGTTGATATAACGTAACTAAATTGGCTTAGACTAATAACCATATTACTAACTCTTTAGAAATTAAAAAAAAAACAAACCAAAAGCATTTCTCTCTTAAAAAATATTTTCTCCAGACAGTAGCATGTCCCATTTTCCACCTTTGCTAGACTAGTGTTTGGATCTCTCCAATCACGTTAACTCTTCTCCGCAATCCAGTTTTGGTGTATCCCCTATTTCCGTTAGAAACTTTGATAGTTCCACATTTACCAACTAGTATGCACGTTGTTGGTGTTGGTAAATGTTTGAGAATTAGGAATATTTCTGTTTAGTTAACATTTTAGAAGCATCTTGTATCTGTATGACAAAGAGCTCATAATCCCCAAGTAGAAGATATTTGAACGGAATCGCTGATATCTACGTGAAATTAACAACAACGTTGAGCAATCACTAGTTGTAGAGCACAAGGCAGATACAAGACATATAATCATATTCATTAATTCTGGTGAAAGAGGAATTTCGAAACGATCATGCACCAGAATGCCATGAACCAGTTGACTCAGCAGATATAAATACCAGCGAGAAAACTTAATCTCTAGTTTATAGAGTTTCTTTTGATGAAGAGAGCGATATGTCAGCCAGCCTGGAAACTGTTCAACCTTTGACAATTGCCAAAAACGCTGCAAATCAATCTAAATTGAAGAATTTTATTACCGTGTACCATAAAGCTGATTGATGTTTGAAATGTAGAACATTTACTTCCTGAAAGTAAAAGCACTTATTATTCATATGAGTTGAAGGTTTTGCTTTTACTCTGACGTTTTACTAGGAATAGATACTTTTAGTATCTAACACATACTTTGCGCAAGTTTTGTGGGTGTAATTCAATGCCGAACGGGGCTTTAGTCCGCAGAGTAGTTGAAGCTACTTTAAAAATTTTTTAGACACGATTTGAGTTAGCTTATTACATTACAAAGTAAAATAAAAGTACAAAATTTGATATTAACAATGTATAATTAAAAATAGCTAAGAATCGTGTATCTACCGATTAATTTATTTATTAATGGTTCTTTAGAGTAATGATAAATTGTAAACTAATCCGGACTAAGCTGGCAAAGCATGATCCTCTGACGGGTTTCATCCTGACAGCTGAACAGCGAGAGGCGTAAGTCCCTAACGGCCTTTTACCAATTTATCAGTGCTGTACCACAAGAGATTTCGTACGCCAACGTACTGTGTATTTCCCAATATATCTCTTGTTCAAAAAAATTATATGTTTCTAGTAGATTTCGATATACAGGGTTGGTGATATGTATTGAAACGGTCGGTTATCTCCTAAAGTAAGATAGCTATCGAAAAATCATAAGAGACAAACGTTTTAATATGTTAAAATCTATTACAGTAAAGAAAAAGAAAGAAAAAATATACAGAATCAATCAAAAAGTTATGAGGAAAGAAAGTTGCTTTTTCTTAATGGAATAAACCTGTATATTGTATATTATTCCATATTTCAATTTTTCTCAAAATTCTAAACAAAATTTATACAGAACATCATGTACGTAAATTAACCGTTTTCGAGATATCGAACTATGAATGTAACTTTTTAATACTCTCAAAATAAAACAAAAAGGGCCCCAAATTATAGATATTTATTTTGAAAATAACGCAAGGTGATGGATATGGATATGATTTAATTTTATCATTAGTTTTTTGATAAAATTGCGTGAAACGGAAAAATGTATTTCGTAATGAATGTCCTGGAAATTTTAAATTTTATGAAATCAACAGTTATGCCAGAATAAAAAAGAGAGAAAACAAATTTTAATAACAACAAATATTTTATTTCGAATTCTATTTTATAAGGTGCTCAAAGTGTTCACTACCTCCTGACAAGTAATGAATTTTGTAATGAATCTAAAAGGGTTTTGGGAGGAATAGTGGAAATTTCATGCCTTATCCTTTCCTGCAAGTATTCGATATTTTGCGGTCTATTTTTGTAGACTACATTTTCATGTGACCTCACAGAAAAAAGTCAAGCGTGGTCATTTTGGGAGACCTAGCTGGCCAGTCAATTGCCCTTCTGCGTCCAATCCAGTTATCAGGAAAAGTTTCATCTAGATATGTCCATACCACACGTTCAAAATGTGAAGGAGCTCCATCATGTTGAAACCATATTCCATATTTCATATTCCATATTCTGCCGGTAAATTGGGATTCTTATTGTTCGGAATTAATCGTCTAAGCTCTGGAATAATAGTATGTTTTTGCAAAAAGTAATAAATATCGTTCAGAGGTCAAATTTCCGTTTATAAAATAGGGTCCTATGACGTGTCTACCAATAATGACACAGCAAAGATTTACCTTCTGTGGTCGTTGGGTGTGAGCTTCCTCCATCCAATGTGGATTTTGGTCCGACCAATACCTATAGTAGTATCGGTTTACGTGCCCGTTCAAAAAAAAAATATTGAAATCCTTAGAAAAATTTTCTTCTTCACCATATTCTACGATCATTTAAAGTGCCATTTTTGCGAGAAAATTATGTATTAAATGCATTTTGACACTATTGTCAAGATAATCACTATTAGACAAAAGAAAGACGCGTCGTTGATGGACTATAAACTTAATGGACTAAAATATTTCTGTACAATAATTTGGGTATAAGAAAATAATGATATTCAAAGTTCGATATCTCGAAAACGGTTAATTTAGGTATATGATGTGTCGTATGAATGTTGTTTAGAATTTCGAGAAGAATTGAAATTTGAAATAATATACAAGGTGTTCCATTAAAGAAAAAGCAACTTCGTTTTATCATGATTTTCTGACTGATCCTGTATACTTAATTTTTCTTTATTGTAATAGATTTAAAAAACTTTTGTGTCCTATTATTTTTCTATAGCTATCTTACTTTAGGAGATAATCGACCGTTTCCATACATATCAGCAACCCTGTATATAATTGCCAGTTGACCCTATTAACCTCCATCAATACTATGAAAATTTCTAGTAAGTTTATGTTTGCATATCTCCCAACGAACGGTTTTTATCAGACTTAAGTAACTGGCAATCTTTTTTTTATCATAATGAGAAAGTTATAAACAAGAAGCCAACTGATGACAATATTCGTAGTTCTCCATTTTCTGCAACCAAGTTTACAAATAATATGCTATCTAAGTTATTTTATATTTGTGTATAAATTTATGTCTCACATCTAATGTGCAACTGATTAATTTATGTCTTTAGTTTCTCGAGAAATCTTATCATATGTTGTAGTTTCAATGCTTACCAATTTCAGATGCTGATATTATTCCATTAAAGGACTGAGTCATTGGTATATCAAACATTATTTTATTTATTTTGACCAGTTATTTCTACGTCCGCTATTTATTTGCATTGAACGAGACAGTAAAATCAAAGTAAAATCATTATTTTTAAAAATAAATTATCTTTTGTAAAATAGGTACATAAAATATCCAACCTATTAGGGAAATCCTATAGAGCCAATTAAGTATGTGATTGTTTTTTAATTGTATACAAAGCATATTATTATTTCCTGTAAATGGCATATTACAGTATTAAAAAGAAAATATTAAGAAAAGTCATACAAATTTTCGTAAATCTAGACGTAAATATTTTTTGTAAGTTCTGTTTTATATCTTTTTGAAAGATTTGAAGACTATTTTTATGATTAATCGCTCTATACTTTGTAAAATTTTATATTTATTTACAAAAAATATTTAAAGGTATACATTCATTTTTGTGTCGCACATTAGTCTTACCATTACAATAATAATTAGAAAAAAATTGTTACTCCTAATCTTCATGTCTAAGACGGGCCTATATTTTGCAGCCAGAACTGAAAATATAACAATTATATTATTTGTTTTTTTAAAATTACCACACAGATTTTTTTTCTAATACATATAACTATGAAATCGCAATTTTTTCATTCTATTTAGGATTATAAATCTAAGTTCCTTGTTACTTGTATGAACACGAGACTAATACTTAACACTCAAAAGCAAACAAGATTTGGAATAAGAATATTAGTTTTCATATACAAGTTATATATGATACAACAAATTTAATTCATATAAATTCAATATTTTAAGAAGGCATATCCACAAAGTAAGAGTATTCAATTTTTTTTACACCGAAACAGCGGTGTCTTTTTTACATATTCAGAAAAGTACATCAAACACTATTTTCGACGTAGTCGACTTCAGTCTCAATGGTCTCTGTGAGCCGAAGGATAAGCTTTCTGATACCTTCGTTAAAAAATCTCCCCCTCTCCTCTTGGGTCCATCCATAGACACCTTGCCAGGTCCGGGCTGTGAGCGGGGTGGTTGATGATATTCCTACCGAAGGAATCCAAGAGTTGTTTTGTGGCATTGGCTATATGGAGACGTGCATCATGATGCAACAAGCACACTTCCTTCGTTAACATTGTCCTTCTTTGTTCTGTATCGCCCTCCATATAGTTTTCAGGATTTCACAGTACCACGCGGCATAAATTGTTTCCCCCTTTGGAAAGAAGTCAATGACTAGAATCCCTTTACGATTTTAAACACAGTTGCCATTATTTTTCGCACCGAAACTACGATGTTGAATTATTTAAATGTCGCTACTGCATTCTGTTGGCTGTTCCGTGAGCTGTTTTGGTACCCATCTTGTATACAATTTTCGATAACCGAGTGTTTCAGTAATTATTTCAAGCAGAAAAGATCTAATGATTTGTTGAAACACTGCGGTCATCTCAGCCAAAGTCAATCAACGGTCGCCATGAAGCATTTCTTCGATCTTGTTCACGATTGACAAATTCCCACACCTTTGTTCATCATAAAAATTCTTTCGGCCAGCCTTATCACCATCCCCATATACAATGTTGATTTCATTAAAAATCCGGAACGGCTATTTTCCCTTTGCAAGAAGAAACCGGATTACACTCATCATTTCGCAGCTGGCGGGGATCAATAGCGGCACTCATTTTAACACGCCACAACAACAACAGTTCGCAACTGACCGAGAGAAGTGAACGCATTCTGCTCCCAACACCGTGGCCTTGAATGCAGTGTTGCCAACTTTATCAAAGACAAAAACTACAGAGCATCAGAGTCTCAGTACTCCTACTTTCTGGATATGCCTGGTATCAATAAATTTCATCAAATTTGAAAAAAAAATTCTGCAGAATCAGTAACTTCTGTTTAGAGTTACAAGAATCAATTACACCAAACCTCACCTACCTAATTATCTTAAAGTTAAATTATGACTTAAAAATACTTACTTTTTGGTTTCGATATTAGGAGCTTCGCAAATGAAATATCTAGATTTGTAACAGTCTAAACTATTCCATTTACCTATCGCCAATATTTCGAGACATTTTTCGTCCCAGTTGTTTGGCTCGCCTATATTCCAATTTTTATAAGATAATATTTGTCTGCCATTAGACATCCATGTCCATTGATCAACGCCATCTACTGTTCCAGATGTCCAAAAGCTAAAGCCTGTAGGAAAAATGTAAAGCGTATATAGTTGGCAATTTTGTTATATTAAATGTATTTATTGATTCCTTTTTATTTGTATGTCTTATTGCAATAAATAAATAAAGTGCAAAGTTCAAGTACAGATCCAGCTTCTCCTACCACCTACCTTATAATTAATTCTTAAGTATATTCGCAAATAATAACCTATCTTTTGAGGATCTGGGGGGCATTCCACAAAAATATGAGGCCAGGTATCAAACTGACTGATTCGTGTTCAGAGGAGTCAAAAAATATGGGAGTAGGGTTACAAAATTAGATATACAGACCAGCTTCTGCCACAATCTTACAATCCTTCAATTTATTCGCAAATAACCCATTTTTCGAACTTTCTAGGAAATAGTGTTCTGTCACCTTTACTTATTTAGCGGGTCCAAAAACGTAACAATAATAGGGTCTAAAGAATATCAGTTTTATTATGTGCCTAAGTAATTTTGAAAAATCAAAATTGGAAATGAGATATTCCAGTGTTATTAATTGAAAAACATATACCCCATATATTGAAATAGTCAAATAATGTAATCTTTTAAAAAGTATGTATTTGCTTGTTGTTTTAACATTACCTTTGACAAACACTAACACATAATTTGATATTGCTGGAATAATTCAGAAAATAAGAGACACTATTCATTTTTTACATATTTGAATAGAACGTTTATCCAGGATTACAATAATGTAAGGTTTGATAGATATGTCTTTAATAATTTGGAATATATGACCAAAGGATTAACAAAGAATTAACTGTAAAGTCATTGGACTCTTTTGGCCATATCTCGAATATTGTTAGAAATAGACCTATCAAACCTTGTAACAGTATAATATTAAGGAAAATCCCTCCTAGTTTGGTTTGAATCTTTGAAATACAATATTCAATTGTTCTTCTAAATACAGCTTTGAAATTACGAGATAATTTTCTACAACTTTTGTCAATACCATTTTTTCTAAGTATGAAAATAAAAAAGATGGGTGTGATAGAATAATTCACTATCGGTGAAGTCTAGTGAATTTATAATTCTTCTGAAATAAAAGTTTTACATGCCACACATAAGCGGACCTCACCGCAAACATAAGGTTTAGCTGAAATAATATCATGAATGGCATCTGATATCTTGAACAATCATTATCAAGCATTACAATTAAATAGAAGTGTATGTACCACGCGACCGAAGATATTTACATTTGGCTGCATTTGTAAAAGTAAATTTTCACAATCGCACAGGTAATCAATTTTATAATACAAGGCATTTGAATGTAGAAGGTAGCAAACATTTGGGAATTCGACAATGTCATTAATACGAATTATAAATAGAAGTGGCCCTAATATTGAACTTTGGAAAACACCCTTAGTAGGAGTCAAAGTGTGAGATTTAAAACAACCCGTGTGCTAAACAAACTGGCATCTAACAGACTTTTTTAATCAAGAATATCTGTATTACATGAATCGACGTTAAATTATTTCTCTATTTGTGCTATAAGAATGTTAAGCTATATTTTAGTGTTTTTGTGTCTATATTTGTTTGTTATGACTTTTATATACTACGTATTTTAGTTTTAGTTATTTTCTATTAATTAAAATCATTTTGAAAAACTAGGTAATCGAAAATGGAAAAAATTTAATAATTATTTTTCAATTTTCTCAAATATATGGGAAAACCAAAATTTGACAATAGTTCTTTTTTAACAAATATGTTGTTTTAATGAACAGTACTCAAATATTAAAAATAAGTTTCAGGACTAATCCTGCCTTATCGCAATTAAAAGCTATCAAATTTTAGGAAGCTGTTATTACGTGTTCTTGAAACAATAAGGAAATAAATTCGTATTTCATTTCTGAAACTGCTTAAAAAAAACTTTGTTAAGTCATATGACATTAAACATATTCTCAGCTGATTAGCCTATTAACTAGATTTAAACGAGTTTTATAATAATTTCATTTTTTTCGTTATTGTGTGATATAGAATGTGACACTACAGTTTGGGTAGATTTATTCTTTCCGCCAAGAAGTCAACATTGTAGTTAAAAAGTAAATTAGACATAAGCGTAGGTAAATGTATTAGGTACTTACCAATTTCGGTTATTTCCTTATGAAGAAAATCGTTTTCACTATTAGACATGACGCTCACTAGTCTCATGCCATGGTAATTGCAAAATTGCGTAGCTTTATAATAACTTGCCTGCAACATTTGAATAGGTATTATTAATTCGTATATATTGTCTAAAAACAACGAATATTGACGCACTTGTAACATTATGAGTTGGTTCTTTAATTTTATGAGGTTCAAAAAGTCATTAAAAAAAATGGAAATGAAGTCGCGTCGAGTTCCTAAATTTTTTTCGATTAGGTAAAATTTTTATTTAGGACTTGGTTTCCAGATATTACAACTTTTCCGTTATATGATTGAAACATTTTTGTTTATGTTATGCTTAAAGTTAGGCATTCTTAGAATGATGTTTTTGAAAAACATTTGTTTATTATTACGGGCTGTCGTCTTTTTTATTCTTATTATATAAGAAGTGGATCTTATTTGTGGAAGGGCGAAATGGGCGGTGACTATTAGACGCCTTCATTATAGCCATCTTTCTCTATCGCACAGATTTCTATGACTTACTTTATCGCTCTCACGTAACGGCCGATGAACCATGGGGACTTTCCGAGCCTGTATTAAGGAAACTTAATAGCTCGTAAACTAAACCTTACAATAAAATTATTATTTATACTATGTTCATACTTGTTATAAAATACACACTAATTAAACAAACCCTAGTGTCACAAGGATGGATCAAGGATTATTTTTTATGGAAATAGTTTTGCTTAACCAAAAATATCACACTGAAAGAAGCAAACAAATAAAAAATATATACTTTATCTACTTCAGTTAGTTAATGTTTCGAAAACCAATCTGTTCTCGTTCTCAAGACTAGGAATGAGGTTTGTTTTTTAAAAAACGTGCGTAATTTTGTAATGTGCATCTTTTATTTTTTATTTCTCTGTATTTTTCTATATTAGTTAGGCTATCATAGTTTCATTGAATTTTCCTTGACTAATTCTTTTGAAGCAATATACGCAAATAAATGGAAGCATGTGATAGAAATATATGCTAAATTTCAATTAAATATATTAAAAATAACAGAGGTATTAAATAAAAACTTTTTTAAAAATTATAACTTCTTGAAAAAAGGCATAAAGAATAAAGTATTATTTATGTCCAAACAATTTGAGATTAACTGGTTTTTTGCAGCACCGTGTAAATAGGTCAATAGGTTATATTCATATAATAATACTTTCTTATTTTTTAATATTCTTTAATATGATTTATGGTGCGTTGTTCTAAATCATCCTATATTTACACCGAGATAAATCTGAGAAATTCTTCTGTGAACGTGTGTAAACACTTTGTGTAATAACACGAATCAATAAAAATGTAAATGCAATGTAAAATGAATACGGTAAAAACAATGGGACTTACCTTAAAATCACTGTGAATGTAATAACTTTTATTTCCAAACTTCACCAACTTTAAAGATGGGACCTCATCGGTAGTTGACACGAACCATTCTAAAAAATTGGTTATAATAGTTACGTTCTAAAATGTCTGCCGCTCTCAGATTGACTACATAGTTCCTACGTAGAAAAAAAAAACAACATCCAAAAATTTCCCCGCGACAGACCACGTTTTGTATACTAAGCTTTAAATTTAAGATACAACAAATTATGGCAGCTTAAATAAATTTTTTCCAACAATTACGTTCATGTTAAATAAGAGTAAAACATTTTACGTAAGTATTTACCATAAAAAGTACTATATCCGCTTACATTTGCACAAATCGCACAAGCAACAATTAGGAATCTGAGAAACATTTTATTATAACTGACCTTTTCGGTAAGAACGTGCACCTTATATATAACATTTCTTATCTTGGCAAAAATATTAAATGTACGGAACATAAAGAAGATATACAGAATCCCTCAGTTCTACTGAATGTACGCTAGTGTACAGGAACGTTCACATAGCATTCTTATACAGGGAGTTTGTAAATAATTGCGAAATATTTTAGAGGGTGGTTGCCGAAGTTATTTTGTGAAAAAATGTTTACATAAACGTAGGTTAAAACATGCTTCGTTTCCGAGATACAGAGTGCTTAAATTTTAACTTCTTTTTATTTTGTATTAATTATTTCAAAGAGTTTTAAAGATATTGATTCGATATTTGATGGTTGTATTTTATTTAGAAATGTTGACAGCAACCTACTAGATAATGTATCAATAGAAATTAAAAATAAACAACTTGCAATAACAACATTAAGTAAAATTCTTAACTAAGCGCCACATTTGTTTTATTGGTTAAAATATGTATAAAAGATTGTGTAGTGGTAATTTGTATATTACAATGTGTTAGACAATAAATTAGAAATTGATCCTCTATTTTTTTGTGTGATGTGTTGCATAATTGAAAAAAACTTCCTGGTAGAACTCACTACTGAGATAAGCTCTCAAGGCTCTTCTACTATGAAAAAAATAAAATCTAATTTTCTCCAAAATCCAATATTTCAAAATTAATATTACATTTTTTTTTGGCGCCCAATCAATTTCATTACCATTACCATACTATTCAATTCATTTCAATACAATTCAATCATAACAATATATTTTTTAATTATACAGGTTTCAATAGTCGACTTATAATTTGTTCTCTAAAACGCACTTAAATTTTTGTCTATGGCTCCACTGGGTAGCTTTCAAATTTGGTTGTTGTGCGTCTTGTATACACTTATCCCTGTTAGCAGTTGTTACCTATATTTTTATGCCAACTGTATAAAACTGATTGTGAGTGACAGGAAGGAAAACAACAATAGATAATAATTTTGTAAAAGCAGGTTGCTTTGTGTGGTTCGAAAAAAATTACATTTTTTACAAAAAATCAAAAGCTGAAAAATGAATGAATGGTTCTTGTAATTTTTTTTTCAATCTACTCTAAAAAATGTAAACTATCTTTTCAGAGAAATAGATATCTTTTTTCATTTTCAATAAAAAAGTTATAACAATTTCACAAAGCGAATGTGATTGTTTATCTTTGTCGTTAAACAAAATTTCGAAAGCAACCTTTCAGGTTTTAAATAATCAATCGAATGGCATAAAAAAATTTGTTTCAGTGTTAAATCATAAATATTAAAGACTAAAAATTGTTACAAATTTTTTATTAAAAATTGAAAAATATATCTATTTCTCTGTAAAGAAAGTATACATTTTTAGAGTAGATTGAAAAAAAAATTATAAAATTCATTCATTTTTCTGTTTATGATTTTTTAAATATCTGAAATCATCCCTTAAATTCTAGCCACCCTAACTCTGTTAATTTTAACAGTACAAGAAAAAGTCAATGGACCATTTTTATGTAGAAATTTTTGCTCTACCATTTTTATGAGAACCTATTTTTTTCTAGCTCTTACCCCTTTGAAGTTATCTTGAAAAATCCCTATATTTTATCTTTTTCCACCCCTGGCCGGGGGTTGAAAACAAAATTACTGTCACTTATTGTTATTATATACCTCTAATTTATATCAAAAATTCAGGCAAGTTGACCAAATTCCGATTTAAAGGCCCATTTAATTGAACTAATAGGTACTATTAAAAAGCTTTTTCTCAACAATTTACTATGTTTTTACCCTTTTTTCTCATTCAGCCACTTCTTCAACTAAATCGGTGCTATCTTAAATTAATCCAAAATAACATACAACAGCACAAAATTAAATCGTAAATGAGTGGGACGTCCGAAAGACAAGACCATGGTATTTATATGTTTTTGGAATCGCTGAATCCGAATCCGGTGTCCGTTTGACCCGATTAGGTCTGAGTTAAGGTTAAAGCCAATTTATCAAGATGATTTTTGCTTTGATCATATGAAATCACTATATCTCACTATTGTGGTATCGAAACTACTACTAACTTTTGTGTTATTGAACTATCTTATTGTCAAAAGATGAATTAATTGAATTAAGTGGAGAAGTGGATATTTTTCACAGAGAGAGATACGTTTCAAAGGGAATAGCAGTTGGCTAATAAAAACAATTTTAAAGTGCTATTTGTTTATTAAAAGTATTTATAACAATGTGGGTTATGTTTACATTTTCTAAAATTCTAATCGTCCTATATAGGGAAAGCTAAGATTACTTTTGAGTTTTTATCACTACCGCTGATCAAAATAAAGTAATTCGTAAGTTCCTCATACCTATTCACTCTTAACCCGGGGTTCAATAAGCCATTCGGAACTGAAAATAAAATCACAATTTGTTGAAAGAAATAAACACAACAATTTATTTTAAAAAATAAATACAGTTTGTAATGAAAACAAAAATTAGGGAAAATTTCACATCTTGAAATCTTTTGGACGCCCTGTATGTTTTATTACATATTTGATTACTGCCTATCGAGAAACTTTTTATCAAGAATAATTTTTTCTCGAAAAATGAACAATAAATAAGTTTATAAGAGCGCAAATTAAAGCGTAAAGTCTTTGGTACCGAAGAGTTGCAAGGGATTGATAATTATATATCAAAATCCTAGCGTTCATCAGCGCGTCATGTAGGTTCGAGGAGGGTCAAACGCAAACAGTGGATAGATAGGCAAAAAGGGACCACTTGTGACTAAATTGCCAAGCTGAGGTCTCCCCAATCTGCTACTACTACTACTACTACTACTACTACTACTATTACTAGTAGTAGTCTTTGTGAATAGTGATAACAGTACAGCAAGAAAACGGAATTAATTACACACTTACACAGCCACACAAAGAAAAAGTTGCCTGTACATTTCAAGAGACATAAGTTAACCGTAGTATTTTTACCTCCTGATCAGGTGTCAGAATTGAGCTACCACGTCACAGGAATTTCCTAACCTCAAAAAACAGGTCAAAAATAGCAAAAATTCACGAAAACGTGCTAGGAAAAATACAATATTTTTTTCTACATTAAAATCTTCATTTATAAGGGACCCTGCTGAACGTGAATCCGCGATCAGAATTGATGGTTCTTTTTCTAATCTAAAAAAACGGGTCAATTAAGGTCAGATATCACGAATTTTGAAAAATAACATTTTAGCACCAAATTTGATATACGGGGTTTTTCGGGGTTGCTGATTACGTATTCGAGGCCAGAATTGCGAAATTCATTTTGTAATATTTTTGTTTACTATATAGCCTAAATACCCAAGCATGTTTTAACCATTTTTTCGGCTATATCTTGTTCTTTTTTCTGTAAATGATCCATTCACGGGTTTTCTGCCTAATCTCAGGTAATAAAGTACATAGGTAGTTAAATAAATTTTTAAATACGAAATTTGTAAATCTGATCTCGAATTCGTGATCAACGACCCCGAGAACCCTTTTATACTAAATTTGGCGCGAATATATTATTATTTAAAAATTTGGTCAGCCATCTTGGATCCGCCATCTTGAACGTTACAAAATTGACATCGGATCCGTGATCAGCGACTTTGAACGCCCCCGTATACCAAATTTGGAGCGAATCTGTTATTTTTTGAAAGTTCGTGATATCTGATCTTATTCGACCCGTTGTTTTGAGGTTAGAAAAAGAACCATCAATTCTGACCACGGATTCACGTTTATGTACTTTTCCTAGCACTTTTTCGTGATTTTTTACTATTTTTGACCTGTTTTTTGAGGTTAGGAAATTCCTGTGATCTGATAGCTGAATTCTGACACCGGATTCGTGATCAAGAGGCCAAAATACTACGGACAACATATGTCGCATGAAAAGTACAGACTTTTTTTGTGTGTGACTGTGTTATTTAACAATATCAATAATCAATTTATGAGGTGTATGCCAACATAAATGAGTCGGTCAATATTATTCGACGCTACATTTTGGAAATTACTCGTAGATCACTAATTTAAAAAAAAAGTTTATAGAATTTTTTTGCTATAATTAATCTTCTCTCAATTGTGCGTCTCCCCGACCAGATGAAATCGGTTAAACTGTACCTTCAAAACAATGATTTGTTCAAATATTTCATGGTTATATTTTATTTAAAATCGTAATTTTAGAATATATTTTTTTACTAATATTTTAGATCTATGATTTGGTGATAATGTAAGTGTAATATCATCCGAATTAGTGTCAAGTTTGATAGGTATTGGACACAATTGTTAAACCACTAATTTTGTTTAAATTAGTTTTTATTTATATATGTACATGCACCTAATCCACAGAGACAATTTAATACAGTCAAATTGAATTATTATACCTATACCCATTACTTCTTAATGGAGTATCACAAATGAAATTTAATAGTCCCAAACAATTTAAGTCATTCCACCACAGTCCACCGCGAATTATTCTAACTTCCAAACATTCTTCTGATGAATTTCCAACAGAGAGCGATGGTTCACCTATGTCCCAGTGGGTGTAAATCATGGAATTACCGGTATACATCCATATCCACGGATCGGGACTCGGTAATATTGTCCCAGATGTCCAGTGATGTCCCTCGAGGTCTGTCGGGGTAAATCATTTCTTATTTACTATTTATGTGAATAAAATTGCAAATGTAACTTAAAGTTAAAGATAATACAGCCACACAAAAAAAAAAATAGGTCCTGACGCAGAAACTTTATGTATTTTGATCTCCTAAATTGAATGCCGTAAATCAAATTTCAGTTTATATTGTCATTTTTTTATGCCTAAAATAGCAATTTTTCGTTCACAGAACTCTGTACTCTCAAAAGTGGCATCCTTACAAAGTTAACGTCTTACAAGAACTATGGGCAGATTACATCGACAGAAGATTATAGTTGTTATCAAATTGACAATTTGACAGGCGACATTTATTTGGATTTTTTGCGTTTTCAGCTGACTCCAGTCCTGGAATTAATTTTTCCTAACCCTAATGAACAGGATATGCCTGCTGGTGATGTCTGGTTCCAAAAAGATGGTGCCTCTCCACATTTTCGCCTCGATGTAAGAAATTACCTTAATGAAGTTTTTCCAAATCGATGTATAGGCAGAAGAGAGACACTTGAATGGCCACCACACTCCCCTGACAACCCCACTATATTTTTTGTGAGATTATCTAAAATCAAAGTAAGTATGAGAACAGACTATCAAAGAATTGAAAACAATCATATCAGAGAAGATGTTCGAAACATAACAACAAATGTTATTGAAAATGTAATTGAAAACTTTGAACACCGAATTGGGCATCGTGCAATGGCTAATGGAGGCCACTTTGAACATTTGCTGCAATAGAATAAAAAATAGTACCTACTAAATGAATGTTTTTATTTAATTCCTCGATTTTTTGACAACTATGAAAAAACAGTAGGTATTACCTTACATCATTGATTTAGTCTTTAGAATGGCTATTTATACTATAAAATATAGAACGTCCTATTAAAAAATAATATCGGTAATGTTATACGTATGTCAAACATAGCTAAAAAAAATAGAAAATATTGCAGAGAAGTGACAATTTCTATTTACTAATTGACCTGTTTCAGCGATTTTTTAAAATTTCAACTTGAAAAAAAATATGAATTTTGTTCCAATTTTGGGATACACACCGTATACAGGGTGTCTCACAGTGACGGCCGATTAGAATTACTTCAGAGAGTACTTCGATATGAATTTTGAAAATTTGGAATACCGGGTTTTCGGGCATGCCCTTTTCAACTAAAATAATGGCGTCCACGTACCACTTCCGGTTATACCGGAAATCGCCGTCAACTTGTTATTTTAAATGGTATATTATTGCAATATTGGATTCTACGTGTTATTTTAGGTGGACTTTTATGAAGTTTCCCTATTCCTAAAATTAACTGTTTTCGAGATATTTAATTTTTTTTTTTAATGGTGAGAAACAGTGACTAGCTTCAAACCATGTGTATTTCATAATAAGAAAGATAAATCAACAATATTTATAGGGGAGATAGCTAGACCCCTAAGCTTCCCATCCATACTTTCAAAGTGGCTTAATTGCTTACAGGGTTCCAGAAATTTAATGCCGAGTTCAGTTAACTTCAAGCCTTCATAGGTCGGTTCTTTTAAATGGAACACTCTGTATGTTTTTCTATATTCTGATACACAATTTTATTCTCTTTCGAACGGTATTAGGGTTCCCTATACCTATCTCTTCTAGTTTTTAAGTTATCTACTATTTTTTGTGTAAGCACCTAAAATCATGTAATTTCTTGCGAGGATAGCTGTGGAATTTTTAGCAAAACTTCAAAACAAACAACTAAACTGTCAATTAGTTGTTACTCTCTTGCAGTGACAGTTTAATTTAGTGTTTCTAAGAAATGGAAAACAATACATATTCAAATGTTGATATTTTAAATTTCACTCCAAAATTGCAATAATATGTAGGGTGTTCCATTAAAAATAAGCAAGTTGATGGCGACTTCCGGTATAACCGGAAGTGGTACGTCGACGCCATTATTTTAGTTGAGAAGGGCATGCCCGAAAACTCGGTATCCCAAATTTTCAAAATTCAAATCGAAGTCTTTGAAACAATTCTAATGGGCCGTCACCTTGTATGTAGAAAACAATGTCCAATCCAAAAATTCGTTCGTTTTTAATTTTACTGCTATGAAAGAGTCGTTTAAATTCGTAACGTAGAATATTTTTGACATCGTACTCAGCGCTTTTAGTTTTGCCGACATCTGGTGCTCGTTTTAAGCGCAAAATGACTTCTTTTTGGCATGAAATCAAAGATTAAAAAAATGACACGATCAAATGAAATTTGGCTTACGGCATTCAATTCTGGAGAACAAAATACATGTATGGTAGTTTTAGTTTCTAGGTCAGAACTTTTTTTTGTGTGGCTGTGTAATGTTCAGGAGAAAACTGGCAAAAATTAAATCTAGATTACTTCTGAATATTGAGGAAGTTTTCCTATACGCCCAGTATTAACACGTTGACTGCGGTACATACCTCGGGGGGTATGTACTCATTATAAAAAATATGCGAATCACAATAATCACATTTTTACTGTATCTTGTGGAAGTTGCAGAATCTGTACTTTTTAGAAATAATGATTTTTCTATTATTTTCTTTTCAAAACTCTGCGAATGAAAACGTTAGTATCCTAGGATATATAGTTACAGATATATGCAAGTTTATATCAATAATTGTGTTATTTTTAATTTTATAGGGTCAAATGTAAAAAAAATTACATATCCCCAGGGATATGTACCGCACACAGACGAATTTTGTTACATATCTCCGAAGATATGTATCGCAGTCACTGACAAAGTACATTGAGATTATCTCGCAGTCAACGTGTTAAGCATAGAATGAAAATTTGTTTTACTTACTCATCTTTCGAATTTTCCCTTCTATAAAGTCGTTTTCTTTCTTGGATGTAATAGACAGCAGACGCATTCCGTGGTAATGGCAAAATTGCATAGCTTGAAAGTAGTTTGCCTGAAACATAAAGCATTGCGTTTTACAACCATGCCTACTTCATTGTTGAGAAATTTAAATTTTGTTATATTCCTTCCAAATAATAAAATCAATAGTCTCACCGTAAAAATACTTTGTACGTAGTAACCTTTGTTTTCGAAGTTTGTTAGTTGTAGAGAGGGTGTATTATTATCTATCGAGCGTTTAAGCCGATCTAAAAAATAAAAACATTTTGAAATAATGGCTGAAAAAGAATTATTTGTAATAAATTGAAAAGTTGAACATTATTTTTCTATATAAATAGAATTTTACGGTTATGACTAGAGCTGTCACAATCGGCCGCTAACCATTGGCGCCGTCAGTCAGCCACGCGAGCTGCCTAACTGTCGCCGATTTCCCTTAAGGCAATCGAACAATTTCTTTTACGATTTTAGTTGTCTTTTGATGAATAATTGAGTGTAATTATGTCGAGCGTAGTTAGTGCTAAAAAACAGCAAACAATTCTTCCTATACTGACTAAAAAAAAACGAATTTACTGGTAAGTAGTTATAAAATTATTAAAAGAATTTTATGAAAGTAAAGGAAAATAATGAGTTCTAAAAATACCTATTTAAGCTACCCCCTTCGTATAAATGTTTAATTTTATTTTTTAGCAAGGATAGCAAGGAGTAATGAATTATGTAGGTACTCAGGTCAGCATCACAGCTTTATCAGTAGTAAATTTGTCTACTCAACACGTATTATTTCAAGTGCATGTGGTCATAGGGAAAGTTAAATAACGAATAATATTTTGTTTTACTAAAAAATATAAACCATAATGTAATTCAGTATCTATACAGGGTGTCTCACGGTGACGGCCCATTAGAATTATTTCAGAGACTACTACGATTTAAATTTTGAAAATTTTGGACACCGGGTTTTCGGACATGCCCTTTTTTAGTTGACTAAAATATTGGCTTTCACGTACCACTTCCATCAACTCGCTTATTTTAAATGGAACACCCTATATATTATTGCAATTTTGGATTCTACGTGTTATTTTAGGTGGACTTTTATGGAAGTTTCCCTATTCCTAAAATTAACCGTTTTCAAGATATTTAATTTTTTTCAAAAAAATTGAGAGAAACAGTGACTAGCTTCAAACCATATGTATTTTATAGGAAAAAATATAAAGGAACAATATCTATAGGGGGATAGCTAGACCCCTAAGCTTCCCATCCATACTTTCAAAGTGGCTTAATTGCATACATGTTGCTAGAAGTTTAATGCCGAGGTTAGTTAACTTCAATCCTTCATAAGCCGTTTTTTTTATGGAACACCCTGTATTATTCATTGATGGACGTTGCAATGGGATTATAAACCAAACATGTACAGTTTTTAATGAGACATATCCAAATTTGCCACCAATGAGCAAAAAAAAGTTAAACATTTTAGCAAATCAACTAGAGTATGGTGGATGAAGATAATGTAATAAATGTGCTAGCCTATTTTAATGTTCATCCAGAATCCTCAACTCGTGCCGCAGAGTATGATTTAGGCATTTCACGAGCGTCCATTCACAGGATGCTAAGAACTAATGATATGCATCATTATAAATTTAATTTACTTTCTGCTCTTCATCTGGGTGACGTCGTGCAACGTGTACAATTTTGTGAAACGATGTTAGTGCGATATCAAGAAGATCCACAATTTTTGCAACATATTATATGGACAGACGAGTTAAAATTTACGAGAGAAGGTATTTTTAATAGACATAATACTCATTTGTGGTCATCTGAAAATCCTCATGTTATTCGAGAAAGAAACTTTCAAAATAAATTTAGCGTAAATGTTTTTTGGCTAATTAAAGATAACCTTACCATATCTACGAAAATTTAAATATCTCAATATTTTGCAAACGGTTGTGGCAGATTTTCTAGATGATATACCTTTAGACCAACTAAGGAAGTGTTGGTATCAATTAGACGGGGCTCCACCTCACTGTCACAATCAAATCGATCAACAGCTGACTGAAATGTTTGAAGGAACCGTGGAATTGGCCAGTGAGGTCTCCCCACCCCACTCCATTAGATTTTTATGTTTGGGGAGTAATGAAGCAAAAAGTTTATTCTACACCCGTTGCTTCAAAAGAGGATTTGATTGCTCGAATACGAAGAGCGTTCCATGAATTGTCTGCAGCTGAAATAGCAAAAGCGATGACAAATGCTTAGCTGTTAAGGGGGGTTATATTCAATATGACCCCCATTATCAGTGTAGTGCATTATTATTATCAACATACATAATTAAAATTGTGTATTGCCATGTATGAAGTGGATTTTTTAGAATTCTTCTTAACTTTATTCTGGTCATTGGTGGAAAATTGAGATATGTCTCATTAAAAACTGTAAATGTTCTAGGTAGAATCCCATTGCAACGTCTGTGAATAAATAATAATAAATAACTTGACGGTTTAGTTGTTTATTTTGAAGTAAGTTTTGCTAAAAATTCCACAGCCATCCTCGCAAGAAATTACATGATTTTAGGTGATTACACAAAAAATAGTAGATAACTTAAAAACTAGAAGAGATAGGTAAAGGAAACACCGTTCGAAATAGAATAAAATTGTGTATCAGAATATAGAAAAACATACAGAGTGCATTTAAAAAAACCGACTTATGAAGGTTTGAAGTTAACTAATCTCGGCATTAAATTTCTAGCACCCTGTATGCAATTAAGCCACTTTGAAAGTATAGATGGGAAGCTTAGGTGTCTAGCTATCCCCTCTATCAATATTGTTGCTTTATCTTTCTTACTATAAAATACACATGGTTTGAAACTAGTCACTGTTTCTCTATAGTTTTTCGAAAAAAAAAATTAAATATTTCGAAAACGGTTAATTTTAGGTATAGGGAAACTTCATAAAAGTCCACCTAAAATAACACGTAGAATCCAAAATTGCAATAATGTATAGGGTGTTCCATTTAAAATAAGCAAGTTGATGGCTACTTCCGGTATAACCGGAAGTGGTACGTGGACGCCATTATTTTAGTTGAGGAGGACATGCCCGAAAACTCGGTATCCAAAATGTTCAAAATTCAAATCGAAGTAGTCTCTGAAGTAATTGTAATGGGCCGTCACCGTGAGACACCCTGTATACGAGTACATACTTGTAAATGTAAAAACGTTTAAAATAAATATTAATAAACATAGTACTAAGTATTAAACAGTGACCACCACACATATAAAAAACTGGCGAAAGCCAGGAGACTCAATTTATGTTTGATTTAATCTTCCTGATTGCATATAACCTACCATTTTTGTTATAGTAAATAATAAAACATTTAATTCCTACTGAAATAAATACAATCCCGAGTGAAAATTACCATGTCGGACCAGCTTGGAAGTAGATTATTTAATTATTCAAATATTACATAGATGTCGAACGGTCGTTCTCTTCAGATTCAGTTATTTTATCACCGCCGCGAATAAGTTTTGCTGAAACAAGGGTAGAAATATCCCAGATTGTGGAACTGATATCAACCATTCGTAAAACAATTTACGTGTTTCATGACATAAATCTTTAATCATTGTTCACTTTATTTTATGTTGATGATCCGTACGCCTTTGGTGCGCGGCCAATTATGACAGTTCTAGTTATGACTTCTTGAGATTTATATTGTAGATTTATTATAAACTGGAGGTTAAAATGTAATAAAATGACGACGAAATATTGTAGTTTTGCTTTTATAATTGTAGCAAAAATTAAGATATTAAATCTATAGATTAATTATTATATATAAATAAAATTGAATACAAACCTAACATGTTAGTTGTTCCAACTTAATTGACACCAGCACAAATTACACTAATAACGATAAAATATTTGAAGGACATTTTGTTTTGACTGACCATCTTGGCGACACCATGAAACTTATATAGCATTTATTATCTTGAAGAAATGGTAAATAAGGATATCTGCAGATTTTGGTTTTCCCTTTAGAAAAGATAAAGCAATTATAAATTATTTTCGAGATATGCCTCAAATGTTTATATTTATTATATTAATAAATTAATGACACAAATTAAGATTGATGTTTACTGTAAGAAAAGCCGGGACATGTAGTCATTTATTTATTAGTTCTCGGAACGGATGGGCCAAGTAAAATATTTCAGTCAACACAAATTATCGAAAGTTGAGGGCTTTCAAGTAGGTAGCGTCGTCCTTCGGAGAAATTTGCCAATATTTTTAACGAGTTCACTTAAACTGTCAGGGCCATGTGTTAAGCGTCTACTATAAGAGAAAAATCGATATTTTTAATAACGCGCGAAACCACGAGAAGAGCGTAGAGATTCCAAAGTAGGATTAAATTATATTGTTAAACTGATAATAATTGAAAAAGAAGAGGATATAAATTAGCTGGATTTTTGCGGATTTTCCAAGCTAAATATAAGAGTAGATTAAATGAGATCGACTAATCCGTCCCGTATTTGCCACACGGAGTCGCTAGAGGAAGGCTAGGGTTACTTATAAGCAAGTTCAGTTTCAGAATTATTGATATAAATGTAAATTCAGTCCATTAGACAATTATTAACATGGCATAGTTATGCCAGAGCATCCCGACATTCAGGGTCCCCGCCAATAAGATAAGAACCAAAACTTCTGGACCCAAGAAATGGGCGTGTTAAAGTGAGGTGGAATTCAGGAAAGATCTCGAAAAAGTCAGTTCTTCCTTAGATTTCACATTGAGCAGTCGACCTAGTTTTAGATTAGAGTCTCGAGCTAGTTAATTAAATTTAATAATAGAAGAAGTTTTTCTAAATTTTATATGAAACGCGCATTCCCTGAATCTCGGTACGCTGTCGCGTGTAAATCAATTAATTAATAATTAATTAATTATTAATTAATTAATTATTATTTAATATTTAATATAATTATTATTATATTATAATTAATTAATTATTAATTAATTAATTATTATTTAATATTTAATATAATTATTATTATATTATAATTAATTAATTATTAATTAATAATTAATAATGTTGTTCGAGCCGTTGTGTTGTCATTTTGTTTGTTTGTTTTGTTTATTATTATTAAAACCCTTCCTGAAAGTTTTGGTGTTTCTTTTTGTTTCTTCCAACTTCAGTGTCACCCTCTATAGCCAGCCACTGGATTACAATCTACGTAAGCAATAGAGGGTAAGTGCCTGAAATTCATTCTCTGAACATACAACATTTCTAAGTTCCCATTAATTAAGGTATTGATAATTATAAACTCTCTTTCGAGAATTAAATAGTGACCTCTTGCGAAATCCAAACTCGTTATGATACTGGTCATAACGATATATTGATAGATAAAGAAATAACCCGTCAGGTTACATTACTATGTTTTTAAGATTTTATAACATGGTTGTGCATACACATACAAAGCAACAATGTTAAAAATATTTATCACTTTTTTAAGGTATGCTAATTGAAACAAATTAAAAAATTATAATTTTTAAAAAATCCTATCAAATGAAGTCGAAATTATTTCTTTTAATTTGAATAAATACCTTAAGATGGCCATACCCCTGCCAGAGAAATAGTCAAATTTCTGGCGTTTTTAGGTGCTAAAATCTTGAAAAATAAAACGTAGAACAAAAGTAAGCCCAAAAATAAAATCCTTGTTTTTCTGTATATTCATTGTTACTATTTAAATTTACTCAAATAAAATAATAACTTAAAAAAGCGTTTTTAAAACATGCATTTGCTGTTATCCTAACAGCACCTTTTATGAATTATTTTCACACACTTATAAATAAAAGTAAACAATTTTATATGTAGGACTAAGCAAGTATATGTTATAACAATATTTACATGTGGAGTTATATATAAAAAAGTTAGTATTTTCGTAAATTTCAGTACCTAAAACCTTAATGGTTTGATCGTTTTTTTTGTACCTATTTATTCGTTTTACTGCGCTGTCTTTGAAAATACACAGATGACATGACATAACATTTCCGTTATTTGATAAGCTTCAAACTGTTGAGTTATTAAATTACTTAAATTATTTGTTTTTGTGGAAAACATTATTTCACGAATATGTCGCCCTTAAGTAAAAACGTGAAAGTTAATAATAGAACATATTTTTGAAAAAATATTAATATCAATCTTCAGTAAAACTTTATTAAAATTTTTGTCATATAACAGAGAAAGTAGCTTTATATGATAACATAGGTATAATACACATCTCTTTTTCTTTTTTTTTAATTATTCATTCAGTGGTTCTCCTGAAAGTGATCTGAAATGAAAATTAAAAATACATGTTACTGACGTGGTACATTCAATATACATACACAATTTTCATATCATTAAGGGTTTTCACTACATATTTATTTTCCTTTTTTACCTTTTTTTAGCTTATAAGGAGCACTTCTGATATTTTTTGACATCCAACTGTTACACTTACAGTCACAATCACAATGAATATGTATAAATATATAAATTGGGAGAAATTAGACGATTGTCTAAGATAAAGAACAAAATCATTAATATTAGTCTTAAAGCTGGAATATAAATGTGAACTATTTTTTATTACTCGAGCTTTCGGGATTCCTGAAGAAGGGAGAATTAAATACAGAAAGCGCGAGTAATAAAAAAGAGTTCACTTTTATATTGTGGCTTTGACTGCATACCAGACGAATATTAAAGATTTTGTTCTATACAGGGTGAGCCATTAGTATGAGAAAGTAAAATAACTCCCTTATTACTCATAATACAGAAAAAAAGTTTATATGAAAGTTGTACAGAATCAAAAAACCTAAAGGAAAAAATTAATTAGAAATACACAGGGCGATGAGTACAAACTGGACACGCTAAATATTACATTTTTTGAATGGAACACCCTGTATATTTTTAAACATATGGATTTCTGAGAAAATTAAACGGTTTAATATTTTAGTGCGGGGTTGCCAAGTTATGTAGAAAATTCTTCGAAAAAACATGACCTCGAAGAAGTTGTATTAACTTTCAACTACTAACACTTGAAGCAAAAATATTTGATAGAGTTATAGGCAAATGTTAAGCAAAGACTCCTATATTAGCTAATATCGATATTTTTTTACAGGGCATTTTTTTATAATGCGATCATTTTAAGAAAGTTCAAACTTGATTTTCTAAAATTTTTCAAATGGAACACCCTGTATTTTATTGTTCTATTTTATTCACATATCAGTCCACTTCAATTTTTATTAAGTATGTTCTACACCTAAAGTTGTTAGGTTTTAAGATATAGCAACATTTCTGGAAAAACCTCATTTTTATTATTTTCGGTTGCACGAAATAGCTTTGGAAAAAACTGTCACATTTTGTCAACTTGTCAGTTCATAATTTATCATTCCATTTTGAGTTAATTTGATTTATTTGTGGTATTCTATAAAATAATACAAATTAAGTTTTTTCAGAAATGTTATATTTTAAAAACTAACAATTTTAGATATACAACATGCTTAATAAAAGTTTAAGTGGACCGACATGTGAATAAAATAGAACAATAAAATACAGGGTGTTCTATTTGAAAAATTTTAGAAAATCAAGTTTAAACTTTCTAAAAATGATCGTATTATAAAAATACGAATAAAATATCGAAATTAGCTAATATATGAGTATTTGTCTAACATTCGCCTATAACTCTGTCTAATTATTCTGTTCCAAGTGTTAGTATCTGAAAGTTAATACAACTTCTTCGAGCTCATGTTTTTTCCAAAATTCGAAGAATTTTCTACATAACTTGGCAACCCCGCACTAAAATGATAAACTGTTTATATTGCCATATATAGAATTTTCTCGCATATCTATATGTTTAAAAATATACAAGGTGTTCCATTTAAAAAATGTAATATTTGTGCCTCCCGGTTTTACTCATGGTCCTGAATGTATCAAATTAATTTTGAAGTTTAGGTTTCCTGATTTTGTATAACTTTTATATAAACTTTGTTTGTGTATTATAAGTAACAAGGGAGTTATTTTACTTTCTCACACTAATGGGCCACCCTGTATATCATAAAAAATAACTTACAATATAGTATTTTAAATTAAGTCCGTGTGATTTCGTAGGTACTTCATTATTATTAGAGACACAAAATCCATTCAATCCAAGCATCTTAAAACATGTTACCATATGTTACCATATGACAAAAGTAAACATGAATAAGCAAAAATGTTATATTACCCTATTTCAGCTTTTGTAGTAGAATTCTTCTCGTCCGGTTTCTTTTTCAAATTATATCTGTTATTCGCTGGACATTCGCAGATAAAGTACAAATTTGTTGAACATTCCAAATCATTCCATGCAAATCCTTGATCCAGTATTCTCATTTCTAGACATACTTCTTTAACTCTACTGCCATTTGGTTCGCCATTTCCCCAGTTAGTGTAAATTATAGGACGACCACTAGACATCCACACCCAATGACCAGACGGTAAGACAGTCCCGGATGTCCAGAAGTGGAATCTGGATACGCCTACATAAGGAAGCAAATGTAGCTATCTTCTTTAATATGAAATGAATATTATAATCTTTCACAACAATACTGCTTATAAAGTGTCATAAAAAATAGGCTAGGATATCGACCAAACCAGTATTCTACAGTGTTTTGATTCTTTGAATCCGAATCTAATATCAGAATTCCAGGATCAGTTCGTGTTTTGACCCTAACTCCAAAAAAAAAACCGACTTGAGTAATCAGCCGATAAACATTTTAAAGCACCCCTAAAGTATATCCCCAAAAATAGTTTTTTCACAATATCTCTGCAAAAACTATTTTGTGAACCAATTGGAGATTGTTTAGGTACTATGGAACACTGATTCAACCCGCAAGGGTTGCATACGTTATTTTTTATAAAGGAAAAAATATTTTTTTTATATAGAAGAAGCCCTTAGGGTTTCTCATTTCGGAATTTATAACAAAAATTTGTCCTGAATTGAAAACGACAATGCTTTGATGTTAATTTATCCATCATAAGCTGCTCTGAACATTCAAAATTTGTCTTCTTAATTTTAGAATCGACTCAGAAATTGTTCAATCATTGGCAACTCCCACAGAAGCCTTTGAGCCAATCTAATGAATAATACATAGGTTATTAAGTAGTACATTTTTCCGAAAATATGTTTTTCTATTTTTGCAAGATGACAAGACACAGTAACATTTAATAAATTTAAAAAGATTTAATAACGTAGTAAATAACATATTCGCTGGAGCAAAATGTAATCTTTGGAATTTTATGTAAAAACAAATTTTTTCGAATATTAGTTAAACTAAATAATTGAACTTCTAATCTAATTGCACATAATTCTTTACAAACATTTTTACAAACTCTTGTAACAATTGTTGTTTTATGTTACACATTTTGTTTTTTTTTTTCTAATTATTTTATGTTAAATTCCAAATATAAATCTATTAAAATTATGTAATGATGTGCCAATACATTCCTTTTTATATGGAAATTATGGTTAATCAATGATACATTTGAAATTTTGAAAGGTTTCTGGTATGAAAATTGAGCTAAATGGTTTTATTAAACTCTGATGTTCAAACCAAATTTAAATATGTGCTGTGTGTTCAGTAATAGTGTGCTGGAAGTAATTTCTTTTCAGTTGTATCAAAAGAATATCCCTTTTATACAAATAGCTTTTAGCATTTCGACGATATCTTCAAATATTTTTATTTGAAGTTTTTGTGAAATAAACTTTTTTATTTATTTATTTTGCATTTGTATGATATATCTATTTTAATACTGAAATTGTGCATATATGTGTTTTTTTCTTGAATGTTGTGCCTATCATTTTAAAACCTTCAAAGTTATTTTTTTGGAAATGTATCTGTTGTATTATTCCAATACAATATATTGAACAATGCAAACAGATGGTAGACATGCGTTACCTACCTAAATCATGAATAGCTTTTTCTAAAAAATCGTTTTCCTTCTGAGATGTGACAGTCAGTAAACGCATTTTATGAAAGTTGCAAAATTGTGTAGCTTGATAATAGTTTGCCTAAAATACAGAAAAATCATTATGTTAGCTAATCAGCTAATAACATTTTCTATAAATGTATTTTAAAAATATACAGGGTGTTTATTAAGTACTTGTACAAAATTTAAAAGGTGAATCTTTGACTAATTTTAAGATAAAAACTTCGTATGAACATGGGTCCCCAACAGCTTGGTCCTTGAGATACAAAGCGTCCAAAAAAAATTATTTTTGTTTGGTATTTTAATTATATTTTTGTTCAATAACATGACAATTTGATGAAATTCGGGGAAACTGGGAGTATTTACCTAGTTTTTTGTTTAATGTTATAGGGCGCCGCATACACCTGGATTTAAATAACCATACCTTTTTTATGTCGCACTGAATGTTATTTTTGACTAAACACACTTATTCTCCATTCAATTTTACGTACAAAATGTACTCTTAGTATATGTCGCTAAAAGCAGCCGTTTTGTAAAAAAACGTGTTTAAAGTTAAACATGCGTGGTAATTTTGTAATTACAATCATTATAATGCTCGTTTGCACCATAGTGTTTAATCCAGGATTAAGTTTGAACCTGGATTAAAATATAACATTTTGTTTGCACCGTTTCAAATATATGGATTAATTTAAACCCTCAAATTTGACGGCTTAAACTTGGATTAATGAGAAAACATAAATTGACACTATTGACAGTACTTAGCTGCTAGTTATATTTTTTTAAATAGATATTTCTTCCTTTTTCCTGTGGACTGTGAATGAGTGAGTGGTGTTAAGACATCATTGAGAACTTTGAAATCGATTCAGATTCTGACTGATGTATTGGATGATTTTGATATTCACGAAATTATAGACTTTGGATTTCCCAGACAAATATATATATTAGAAATGATCTATTTCATATTCTAGACAATATGACTTTTTTCCGCAGATTTAGGTTCACAGAAGAGACCATATTACATCTACTAACTTTAATTGAAGATGAGTTGGAATATCCAAGTGACATGTAAGTTTTACGAACACGTCGGCATGAACACGATGCAACTGGCAATCAGAATTTTGGAGTTATAAAAAGCTTTTATTCTTAATATGATTTTGTATGTCTAGGAATAATAGTGTATCTCCTATCCAACAATTGCTGACTGCTCTTCGGTTCTATGCTTGTGCTGGTCATTTGTCTGCCATTGCAAACTTTTCAGGGGTGAACATATCAACAGTGTCCAGAATAATTGTACGAGTATCAATTGCAATAGCTCGGCTTTATCAGAGATACATAAAAATGCCAAACCCAAAAGAAATAATTAGTGTGCAACATGAGTTTAACTAAATCTTTTATCACAATAAAATAAATTAGGTTATTACGTTAGGTTTGAGAATTTGACTTTGACACATTTTTTTCCGAACATAAATGGACATAAGTTAGCAGCATAATAAAATCCCTAAACAGTATTGTGTCATTTATTGATTGTATTGCGATGTGACAAACTTAGATCATTTATAAGACTAACAATTAGACTAAACTACTTGCACAAATAAATTAATAACATTTATAATAATTGCTGAAAAAAAAAAATTTTTTTGGACGCTCTGTATATAAAGAACCAAGCCGTTGCGAACCCATGTTCATATGAACTATTTATCTTAAAATTACTCAAAGATCCACCCAAGTTTGTACAAGTACTTAATAAACACCATGTATATTTATGTATATGATTATAGAAATGACATGCATCAAATCATTGAATAAACAGGTACATGAAATTATACTAAACTAACTTACCATCAAAACTGTTTCTAGATAGTAGCTTTTGTTTTCGAAGTCTACTAGTTCCAATGTTGGGACTTCTGCAGTAATTGCAGTTTTAAACCAGTCTAAACAGAAAAATAAATACATAAAATAATTGAATAAAAGAGGAAAAATGTAACTACAAAATCTAGTTTCAAATAGATATCCAATATACCGGATGATTTTTTTAACTTGAAACTTTCAAATATCTCGAAAAAAAGCACTCTACGAAAAAAGTGTCCGTAATCAAAATTTAATTATTCCATGGAAGGAATACATTAGTGCTAAAATTAGTCATCCCCCCCTTGTAGATGGGAAGAGGGGTAACTTTGAAATTTTAAATGCAAACCCCAATTTTTTATTACAAATTCGGATGGTATGGTCAAAACATTTTTTTCGATTCATAGTACATGGCGCTGTAATCGACGAAATTTAATTATTTCGATTCGCAAGTGACCCATTTTTCAAGCATTACGTCAAGAACGCCGCCGGACGCACCACGGGGTTCCCGGAAGACGACCCCGGCAGAGGGGCTCCAAGGAGCAGGGACTTCTGGTAGCGACTACCAATATACCTACGACGTACTCCACACATAGGGACTCTCCAACGAATACTCACCCCGTCAACACGTCTTTTCCTATACAAGTTTTCTATACATTAGTTTTCAATAAAATTTTTTATTATTACCGTTGAGAGAGCGTGTTGCTCCCGCTGAGTACCATTTCGTAGAAATGCTGATTGTACTGGATCGCCGGTGCCAATGGCTCCACGTTCCGGGACACACGAAATCGGAGGTAGGCCGATATCGGGGCCGGACCGCGAACCGTGGTCGGGCTCATGGGATTCCTCGGACCCTACCAGTTGGTACATAGGTATAATCTCGTCCCGAGTATCTGTGGATGACCCACTTCGTGGTAACTCGTATGGGCTACTCGCCTCCGTGAGTGCGTCGTGAGGGGTGGTCGAGGTGGTATCAGTAACTCATGTAGCAGCGGACCTCAAAGCATACGGCGCTGTGGCTGCGCCGTGCCGCGTACTTCCGCGAGCTACCACCTTCGGACCCTCAGACTCTTCACGCAGCATCGAGATAGCGTTGGGGAATAAGGCTATTTCCTCTTTCACCCGGAATGTCGGGAGAACTTTCGCCGGCAAACAGGCGTGAGGGCAGTCCGTGTAAGCTGGTCTCTCCGGATGGTTACGAGGTCTCGTCCAGCTTAGTCTTGATCATAGAATCACGATCTGATTTATTTGTTCTACCTTCGGGGGCTCCAATCCTCGTAGCACTGGATATCGCGTCGCGTACGACAATGTCGGAGCAAGCTCTTTTGCTCTGTAAGTCTTGTAGAAACACTGATTCTACTGAAACATGGGTCTCTCGAGGGAGCCCTGAGAAGCAAGGACAACTTCTGTTAAATTTCGAGTACGCCGCCGCAATGACGTGCGTACTATAACTTTGGACCCGTAGGTCGCAAAGATAATGTCTCTTAGGGGTTTGACGAGGAAGGTTGCCTCGACGAGTGACCTCCTAGAAATTTGACGAGGAAAGTTGCCTCGGATTTGCAGATCTCGACAGAGTCTGAATGATAGGACTCGTAGGAGCCTATATGTGTACCGTCGTTCCGAGGTGAGGGTCTCTCGATGGAGCCTGCACAATCAGAGACAGGGTCTTCGTCGGAGATGCTCAGTCTCGGACGGTATCGCAGGTCTCTAAAGGAGCCTGGAGTTTACCGCTGTGCGATGCAAGGGGCTATACGGACAGGGTCTTCGTCGGAGGTAGTCAGTCTCGGACGGTATTGCAGATCTCTAAAGGAGCCTGGAGTTTATCGCTGTGCGATGCAGGGGGCTATCGGACAGGATCTTCGTCGGAGGTGGTCAGTCTCGGACGGTATCGCAGGTCTCAAAAGCAGCCTGGAGTTTACCGCTGTTTCGATGCAGGGGGCTATCGAACAGGATCTTCACCTCAGGTTGGGCTACCTCGGGCGGTATGTCTCGTGAAGCGAGTAGTGGTGGCTAAGCACTATAATCTACCCCGAAGGTATGGCAGCCTTGACGGAAGCCTCGTGAAGAGAGCCTGCGAGCTTGAGCTCCTAATGTTCTTGAGTTTGATGTCAGGATTTTCACAATCAAACCGTGGAAGATATGTTAAAAGATTTATTAGACAGTAAAAACGGACAATAAGTGCTCTTAATTAACATATACAAGACATTTACCATAGAAAATCGTTTGTTACAATTTGCTCCGTGTCGCTCATTCGCGCTATGCACTCCCACTAAAGAACTGCAGATGCCGGTAGTCGACGTTCAATCGCTTTCCTCCGATCTCCATACTTTTGGCGGAACGCTCGTGAATCGTTCACCAAAATCTCCACCAAAAAGCGCCCGTCGCCGACGTCGGATCTCGTTCCTCTCTGGCCTCTCCGGATAGTTGATGTCGGCATTGGGGATTTTGGAGTCTTCTCCCATTTTGAAAAATCTCTACCCTCGGTCTCGGCTTAGGCTACCGACCATCGCATCCAACCGCCAGAGCGGGGGGACCCTCGGAAGACTATCCTTTCGGCCCAAAGACGGGGAAATTGGAAAGTGTGGTGAAATTTTCCCCGTCTTCGTAAAAGGGCTTACGGAGGTCTTTGTATTGCATGGATCTGGTTCAAAAGTGGACTGGTGATACACGGCACGAAGTAGTACCGTGGGGGGTTCGGCCGAGATCGCGCGGACACTTTCGGCGGCAGCTAGGAAGACGTGGAATCCTATTATGGATTAGCTGGCCGTTAGTAGTCGCACGATTCGGCTCAAATTTTATATGCTAACCACCTAGGGATACTTTAGTGTGGTTTTGAGGTTCGGCCGAGATCGAATGAGCGGAACGGCTAAAAACGCGGAAAACGTAAAATCCGCGTTTCCCCGTATAACGGCGTTATTGCTCATCCGATTCGGACAAAATTTTAGGGGAATAATGCCAGCGACTTGAGAAGTGATGCGTTAAATTTTGACACCGATCGCTAACTAAATTTTTGAGTTATTGACGCTAGCGTCCTTGGACCAATTGGAAAGATGAGTAAAAATACTGATCCAAATATCGCCCTGAAGCGCGCCGGGGTTCGTCTGCAGGTTGCGAGAGTCGCTACAGTGGATACTGAGCGCAGGGAAGGCAGACCCAGGCGAGATCGGTCGCGATATGGATAACATTGGAAACATCGGTGAAATTGGTCTGAGATGCAGAGTCGCGGAGATCGTGCTCGGACGGTATCCAGTTCGATGTCTGAAATGATACCGTGGAGGCTTTTTTGATTTACCCGGCCAACGGCGATTAATTTTAAAACCGTGGCGGGTTTTCTGTTTGGACTGGAAAGGTAGGCGAATTTGTCTGTCTCGCCTCCTTCCCAATCTGATGGCCTCAGGCATGTCCGTAGGTACAAGACGACGTCTAGGAATATACTGAGGGTTCTGAAATCCTAAAGCTCGCTCGAAGGGTGGAATACGATAAGTTTCATTAAATTTGAAAAAGTACATAATTTTGAGACAAATCAAGAAACAAATACGTCCAATATTAGTCAAAAAACAATTCACTTTTTATAAACCAATATTTTCATTGAAATACTGTTAGTTAAGCTAAAATAATTTTCTAATAATTTTATGACATCTACATCTTAAAATATGTATTAATCTACATAAAGCGGCGAAATATAATATTGCAGTAAAAATAAATTAACATTCAAATAAGATTTATTACAAAACTATGAACTTATTATTAGTTACTTTTCACAATATACCTATATTCTAGGCAATGTCCAAAACTAGGATTAGTTCATGGCAAACGATATTTATTTAGTTCAAATAAATCCTTTTTTCAGTGAAGAAACTACTATTATCATAACCCAGGAACAGGCGTCCTTTTTAGGATACTTGGTCAACTCGATTTATAAGAGTGCAAATCTGCTCTCAAATGAATGTATTTTTTGTATTTTGTTTTAAAAATACTATTTCTTTTGTTAAAAATATTTTTTATAAAAACGTTATATGTTTACATATACCGTTTATGTTATTTCTTTCTTCGTGTTTTTGTAACTACAAAAACACAAAATAAACGTAAAACAAAGAAATAACGTTATTAGACAACTCAGTTTAATCAAGTACGCCGGAGCCGAAGGGAACAAAACTACTATGTCCCCGTCGTTGTTCCTGTAATAGTTTTTTTGTGTGTCTGGCTTTATAGTATAACTAACATATTTTATCTTTTATAATCATTTTTTTAATTTTTTTTTGTCAATTAATTTTAATATTGCAATTTTAATAATTAGTAAGCTCCTGTAATATTTTATTTTATTTTTATGTACCATTTTTGCACGCATTGTATATGTTCAGACATCATCCGAAATAATTTAATATAGGTATAATGAATTAGATTTTATAAAGTTAACTAGAGTAGCCATTGGCTAGACTTCGCCTTTAGTAGGTAAAATTGTATTTTGTTTTGTATAATTTTCAAAAATAAAGACTTTATTTTTGCAAACACATAGCAAAATCGTATGTATAGGTTCTCAGTAGGCGAAATCGAGAAAAATTGAGTTTGTCGCCATTTGTCATGATGTAATTTTAGTTGCAGAATCCGAATCTGCGATAAAAAAACATAGGTTCCTACAAATATATTTTTCGTAGTGTTTATTTTTCGGGATTTTTTAAAATTTCTGGTTAAAAAAATCACTCGTTATAACAGCATACGAGATGTTATTAATTTAATGTAGAAATTTGTGGAAAAAATTCCACCTATGAGAAACTACTGCGTAAAATTCATAAGGTCACATTGAAATTGAATTTATTTAATTGGATATTTCCAGAATAGTTCACAATAAGAAAGTAAATAATTCGTCTCGATTATATGATAAGCACTGCAGCAGATGACTTAGTTAACGCTTCGAAAACTTCTAGTTTTTGTTCTCAAAACTCAAATTGACTTAAAGTTAAATGTTTTTTTTGTTTGTTTTATGTATTTACCTTTCATAGAGATATAAGGTATCATATAATATTTTCGACTAATAAGGAAAACTCTGCTCACCTAGAAAATCTGTCGAATTTTCGACACCCGCAGCTCTGCAGAAAACTGCACTAACGAATATAACGTATGTCACCAACATTTTATTATCACTGACCATTTCTGCCAACAACATAAACTTACTTATATATTATATTTATCTTCACAAATTTTTTCAAAATTTTTGTTTATTGTTTTGCACATATAAGCAAGCCAAGCAGAATTTACGCACATTTAAGCCCGCCGCAAATTGAACCCAGCACACGCACAGCACACGTGCAACCCACGCGTGCGTTACTTTGTAAAACATGATTTGAAACGGAGTGGCGCATATTGGACCCAACCAGTGTTGCCAAATATACCATTTTTATGGTATTTATACCATTTTTTCACCTATCATGCCTATAAGTTTTTTGAGGATACCATTTTCCATTTTTCTACCATTTTTTGGCTGCATATACCATTTTCCTACCATATTTTTAACTGTACATTTTGTATGTATGTATTAACGAAACATGGCAGATCACTCTCTAAAACACGTGGGTCGTGCGTCAAACTCGATTGCTGGATACACATTTGTTTATCTTTTAGTAAACAATTTATAATATTCTTATGACTTAGCCGAATCATGGGGAATGAAAAAAAGAAAAGTGCCCCACGCATGACAAAAAAAAACAAATCCAATTGATTTTTAGAAGTCATCAATATTTTGCTAAACAACAAATTGAAGCCACATTAAATTGCGGTTGCAAATAAATCTTGGAATGATTTAATTTGAAGGGGCATTATAATTATAAATAATAAACATCAATTATACCATTTGTCAAGCCAGGTTAACTTTTAACAGCATCTATTTTGGTCCCGCCAAATTTTAACATATTTGGTTAAAATAAACCCATTACAATTTTTACACTTTACACTAAAATTTAACCAAAAGCGTTGCAGAATAGACCCGTTTTTTGTTGCTTAAATATATGGTTTAAAATACAAATTCAATATTACTGTTGTTTTTTTACTTATTGATTATGTGTAAAACCTTGTTATTTTAGTGTTATCAAGATACCATATTTGTCAGTAAAATACCATTTTTTTCAAGTGTCGGATACCATATATATTTTTTTTCATCTAGCAACACTGGACCCAACCCAGAGCTAGTAGTCCAGGAGAATTACACATTGGCATGTCTGTTGCTTGACGTAGTTTAGATATTAGTAAAAATTGGTAGTTCTCGGAAAGACGCTTATCTTGAAAAAAAAAAGGACGTTCAAATCGGTCATATAAGTTCCGAGATATACAGTGTCAAAGTCAACAAGCGCTTGCTACAAAACTATACTTAATGTAACAACAATAAAAATTGAATTTGGTAGGTTTTTTCAAGAACTTTCCGTATGTGTTTTTATAAATATGATCGCACGTGTGCTTTTTATATGAAAATTCAATGAATATCGTTAAGCCGGGAGGAGGGGATAAATTATAGAAATTGAAATCGTGCATTCAAAAAGAGCGCGCGCGCTTCGGCGTTCAGTATCTCGACTTCTATGGCTCCGATTTTGATAATTTTTTTTATAGAAAAATGAGAGGAATTCAATTATCAAGATTTCATTAAAATATTATAAAGCCCTTTTCGGTCTATTACAACTAAAAATTTTCCACATTTCATTGTTATACTGTATATTCATGTAAACAATAATATCGATGGTAGGATATAGGTACATAATCCACTGTTACTAGGTATTAGTTTTTATAATTACGTGGTAATAATGTTTAAATAAAATTTTGAAATTTTTTATTTAATATGTAATTTATTTATTGTATTCATATAATATAGAAAAAAATATAGATACAAATAATTATTTAAAGTTGAAAATTTCTTGAACCTTTTGTTTAATATTAAAATATATTTATTTTCTTGGGAATTGGGTTCTGGTGTGATAGTCAGTTAAAAAAAAAAGGACAAAAAACAGCAGCGATTTCTTTCTTGACGTTTCGTTCCTGATCAGGAACTTTTTCAAAAGGCTTTTATTATTAAAATTGCTATAATTAATAAAATTAAAACCTAAAACAAACAATAACTTACTTAATATTTAGAATTTTTTTTCCTGTAATTACAATTAATTTAATAAGAAAATAATTTCGTTAATACATACATACATGACGTAAAATGGTTGTTGTTTAGGTATGTATTAACGAAATTATTTTAAGTGTAATTAAAAATATCGAAATATATTTCCCAATCTACTGTGTGCTCAGTCTCATTGATGGGCCAGGCTGCGACTCAAGATCTGGTTGAGTTTCCGATATTGAATTGTTGAGGAAGGATGGAGAATGAAGTGGCGTCATTGTTGGCAGTTCATCTTCAAAATCATTCTCCTCGATCAATTTTGATTTCTCCATTATGTTGCTGCATGTCTCCCCACAACAATTCAGGCACACTGTAGAACATTTGAGGCCTGCCTTCCGAAATCCACACATTGCTCCACAGTTTCCTTTGCATCGGCAGAATATCAACTTTAGAAGCTCAGGGGGTGCTGGAGGTTTTGAACTTTGAACAGGCATCAATATTTGTCCATACTTTTTCCAGACTCAGTCTTGAGGGTCGTTGTAATTCCCGAGCCATGACTGGACATGATGATGGACTCGGAGGCTGTATAAGCGGGCCGTGTCTTGTGTGGAGGAAGTGAAGACAAATTAAATGTATTCTTTGTCACTGATTTGGCGAATCGTTTATATCTAAGACTGTCAAGAGAATCATCATCTTTATTGCCACCATATAAAGAGATGAAAAAACTTTCGCCAACGGCAGTGAGCAAAGTAGGGTAGACTCTCTCATTGAGGAATAACGCTGTTCCACTAGCTAACTCAGGACGTGTCTCCAGGGTTGTGAATTTCATTTTACCGATGTTTTAAGCTGCTGAATTCCTGAGAAGGCATGGAGAAACAACAGATTATCCACAATGACGTCTCCGTACATAAAACTTGACCGACAATATAATTGTTCGACTGTACGTCCTTTTGATGGTTTAAAAAAAGACATTTGAATGTGTTCTTCCAAATACCGTGAGCAAGACAAGAATGTCGATACCTTCAGCGACAATAGTGATTGAGTCGAGCGATGAGGGTATCTGCATCTGATTCTGCTTGGACAACACTGAAACCCAGCTCTTATCCACAAAATTCAAAATAGTGTCCACAAAACTCAAAATACTTTTCACAATTATATACGTCACGCACGCACGTGGTAGCATAACTGGAAGAAAACTTTGAAGGACACCTCCTATGCCTAATCATTCATATTAATGTATACTTACTAGTACTGGAGAATAGTGTAAATTTCGCATCACTGTAAAACCCTAATAAATAAATAAAATTTGAAAAAATTTGTAATGGAAATTATTCCTCGAAAACCCCTCTATCATAATGCCTGATGTATTTTTTTGTAAAATGATCAGAAAAATAGTTATAACGACCAAAAGAAAATTTGTTCCCAAATTTTTATCTATTTTCGTTAATAACTTTGTTATTTTTGGTCTTACGACTAAAAGTTATGGAACCAAATTTGTAGCGAATTTAATTTGCAACAAAAAATGTGTTTAAACATTTTCTGTGCGACGAATAATTTGGCCAATATAGTAAGTAGTATTATAAAAACCGTTCACAGCTCTATTTACAAGATGGCGGCCGATGCACAAGGGTTGTGACCCCACAAACATGGATTTAACTTTACTCTAACCCCTTCTTGATATTGTAGTATAACAACCCTAGGTTTGACAAAAAATAAGTAAACGTAGTTGTGGCCAAAAATATGTGATCGTCATAAGGAATCCCTACGTTGTGTGTATCTATTTTTAATTGACCGGAAGGCGCTGGCTACTAACTTTGTAGAGGGGATGTATGGTTTAATTATATAAAACAAAAGCAGAGTAAATACACCTAACCTTTATTTACATACAATTCAAATTAAACATGTGACAAATAGAAAGAACAACAAAAACATTAACAACCATCAAACATAAAATGAGAGTGCCAGGTTCACCTAGAGCTCCTGTGGGGAAGGAGCATGGCAGAGAAACCCACGATCGTTGCTCTTACCACCCAAATATAAATACAAAAACAACCACTATCCAAAGGAATAAATTAAGATCCTTTGCTAATGATAAATAAGTCTTGTCCCATTTAATGTGTCACTAAATGTCATCTGTTAACCCCATATTAGTCATACACACTTCCAAGCAAAACTGGAGAGATTTGGTGTTAGTTAGCCGGCAGAGCCGGAAGGTACTGAGGTCCCATCATACGGGAGGCTACTCAGCTAAAGTTGAGATTTCGGAAGGTCCTTCTTAACACTGGAGTCCCATACGGGAGGCTATCCAGCGTAATTCAGATTCATTCCGCACGGGCGAAAATGTTAGTAACTGCAACAAGGCTCGTATAAACGTGTGACATAAAGTGGACACAAGAAATCAAAGAACAACATGATCTTGTTTAAAACAAGTTAAATGTGAAATAAAGAAGTCGTTATTGCACTATCTGGGCGGTCTCGACAAAATACATATTTGAACATATCATAAATAATGAACAACCTTAAATAATAATTGTAACAATTTTATATTAGAAAAATATACGCCCCTAAGCGTAAGACAATGAAGGCTAAACATATACAGAATTATTATCATGAGACATCTATATTTTACGAACAACGTCATCACTACAAAAACAAGTTAGCTGTAAAACAAAGGAGTCATTATTGAAAAGTCGGGGGCGCCCACGACGATATACATATTTTATCATAAAATAAATAATGAGCAATCGTTAAGAATAATTATAACAATTTTACCTTAGAAAAATATATGCCCTTGAGCATAAAGCAATGGAAGCTAAACATACAAAGAATTATTATCATGAAACATATATAAACATCACAATCATAAGATTTCATAGAACAATTAACAACAAAGTACTTAAAGAATATTACTTGATAACTAATACTGGTTAACCACTTAATTTTACACTACTTTGTCACACTGCCCGCCGATCGTCTTACTGCCGATCTCCACACTGTTCGCACTTCAACTAACTATCTTCAACTCTTTAGGCTTTCTTCCAGAATGCCCCCCTAAGCGCTTGTTTTTTGTGCTTCCTTCTAACTGTCAATATTACGTTTTCATTTTTATACAACACTCATGTAACAGGTGACGTGGAAGTTGATAAGATAAGTACGGTTTTGCACAATATCCAAAAAATAAAATTGCGTGCTCTGACTTTTGCAACCCCAAATA